TTTGATTTTCCTTTTTACGTGATTCAACTTTTACATTTGGGGGAAAAAACAGTGCAGACGCTGGCGAAGGTCAGAGGTCGTTTGGTGAAAATCTGGTCGTGACCAGTCGATGAAATGCTCCAAAGAAGAATTGTTGATGATGAGATCTCACTTTGTCGGCAGCCAGTTGTTCTGTGATGCACTTTTGGTTTGACCAGTATTATTATGGCAGTGAAAACGGGATCCGGCAGCGACACAAAGTGCAGTCGTGAATCTGGCTGCAGGTTCGTAGACGCATCTGTCTGGACTCTGGAGCTCATGTTGTTTTTGTTTGGATTCGTTTGGATTCGTTCATCGTTCCCTCTGTGCTGTGATCTTCTTCTGTTTCTGGAGGAGGGATGAGTTTGCTGAATCAGGTCACGTGAGCCGGAGCCTGTGTGGAACAAACAAACCTGCTCCCTGACGACGGGCGGACTTAGACCCAGTTAGCAACCTCTGTCCTCTCAGTCCAGTGGAACGCATGCCTTCTTATGCAAATTTTTATACAAGATTTGTCAAACCTTTTTAATATGCATTTTCTTTAGTTTTTTTAAGTTTTATGTGAAACTGGAATCACCTTTTCATTTCTTTGAACATTCTGGTATCCTGATGCCTCAGTGTGCAGTTTAGGTGTCACACAGTGCGGTAGCCATCCACGTTAGAATGGAAACGTTTCTTCCTGCCGGCGTGTTTTATGGACGGAGCTGAAAAGGTTTTAGCTCCTTCGTTTAGATTTTAATTTGAATTTGGCTAATGCACCATGCTGAATGTTGGGATCCCGGGGGGGGGGTATCAAGTCTTAATGTCTAAATTGTTTCATCGTCCTCTTCTAGTGAAAAGTCTTGGTTTTTATTGAGTTGAGTTCTAAAAGGTGAATTTATCCAAAGAACACTGCAAGAGTACATTTGTGTTTGGAAGCCTTTTACGTAGTCGATGCATATCATTAGGAAAAACATTTCTGCGTCATTCACCGAGGTGTGAAAAGAGTTGCGAGTCTGAGAGCTGCTCACTTTGTGTCCGAGGAAATCATTTATGCATTGAAGACGTTCTTCTCCAGTTCCCTGTGTGGTGGATTGTTCTGGAAGCATCCTGTGAAGTGGTTCGCTCCGCCTCCGCTCCTTTCACTTTTAAGTTTTAAACGATCAATTCATGATTGTGGCCTTCTAGTATTTTGTCGATACATGACATCAGTCCATCGTTACGGCTCAGCATCCATCCTGTCCGGACCCAACTGTTCACCTGAAGCTTCTTACCTCATCCACAGCTGATTCCATTGGGGTGTGTTGAGTGCAAAAACAAAACAAAAGTCTTTTTTTATCTTCCATACGGTGAGATGCATTGTAGCGATATGAATAAAGAAAAGTTCACCTGGTGTGCTGAATAATGTGTAAATTGGTAATTACACAATCTGAATATTTGTATAATTGTTTGTATTTTTTCATAATGATTTTGGAAAGGAATGTGTTTATTTTTTTGACTTCTGTTCCAGATGTGTCTTCTGTTGGCCTGACATTGTGACTGGTCTGGTGGGATTCTTACCTCTGTATTGAGCCTCTTCTGTGATGAATTCTTTGTATGCAGTGTTTAGGAAATACTGTAGGGAACATGGGGAGGAGTTGATATTAGGAGCATTTGATCAATTTGTATTTATTTATTTTATCATTTTGTTAATAAATTGTGAAAAGCAGCATGTGTCGTCTGTTGTGTTACCGGAACAATCTTTGACCTGCGTTCACATCATTCTTAATCATCTTATTTATTTAACACCATGAAGGGATCGTCCAGCGACCGCTAAGAATCTGATGTGGGCGATGCTATGAAACATTCACACATTAAC